ATTTAAACTAGAATAGTAGTTACGGTTGGTTTTAACCATTTTTTACTCTTTATAGTTTATAGCCGACTCTAGTGATTATAGTGTTTTTTAGCAATTTATATCATTTTTAGCGATTCTTTATCAACCTATATTAAAGAATATCCTATTCAAATTTGTACATAGCCGAAAACGAAAAAAAAATGTAAATATACACTTCATAGATTTTTATTTCATATCAACACTTTCTTGCATATATTGCAAGTAAATATTAATGTATAAATTTTATTTCCCAATTGTAATCTCAAGAATAGCATTAGAAAAATGGTTGAGTTGTCATTGAAATTATGAATTAGCTATATTGCTTTTTTCTTTGCGCTTTTGTCTTGTATTTATCTCTTTTTGTAGGTTCAATAGTGTGTCAAACCTTAGTCGAATGGCAAGAGGATCATCCTCCGGCCTATTGAGATCAAATACAACAAACTCACCTTTGCGGAGGTAGCTATTAATAACCATAGATGCACCCTTTATATCATCAGTATACTGTCCAACAATTTTGGAGATATCGTGAGCGCTACTACTGCTATTAAATATCACTAAATGGGAGACATTTTCTCGAATAATAATGGGAACTTTATGATAACGTTGTATTACATAAATAGGTAAAATGTTTCTGTGGCGCCCGTGAGTAAAGAAAGGGATAATTTGATTTTGTATATACTCTGGGGCAACACACAAATTCTCAAAAATAATAACAGTGCTCCTTTCTGATGAGAATGATTTTATGTTTGGAATCCTTTTAGGAGGAATATAGCTAAACCAAATATTCTTATAATATGGTGCTCTTGGATCTTTTGAAATTACGCTATACATATATCTTACAAATGCCCATTTTGGTTCATCAGGATGGTAACTACATACTATCAAATTATCACATCTAATATATCTCGTTCCCCCTTTCCATCCTTTGTATATATGCTCACTCTTATCCCCTAAGAACAAATTTGCTAGTAAATTGGTCTTACCTGTACCACTTCTTTCACTGACTATCTTGCTGAAAGGCCATATCATTGCTGGATGTCTAACATTTCTGGATAATTCATGCTTTGTGGCCTTATCCATATCTATAAGGTAAAGTTTCATAAGGGGCAGTCCAGTTGTCTTTTAGTTCTTTTGCATAACGGTTCAGGAAACTATAACTTTGATTTCTACCTGCCTTCTCGCAGTTTCTGCTTGAAGTCACAAAATAATTATCTATATTTAAGAAAAATAAATTAATATTTTTTGAGCTAGCAAAAAAAACTATTTTTACTCTATTCTTTTTTTGAAATATGTTTACCTATTTGAGTGGCTTCGAGTGATTTATCACGAGAAGGCGTAATTGGGCAAAAAATTTGCCTGTATATATACCATATAATTAATATTATCACTAAGGCTAAAATAACAAGCTTGAATATAGTTGGAATTATATACTGATCATTAACTAAAGCATTGCTGACCCCTAACGTAACAATAGGTAAGGCTTGAATATTATCGAGTTTCTCTTTCTGCTTATTGCAGGCATGGTCTATCGGGGGCTCTACCACATCTTTTATTTTACTTTCATCAGGCTCAAGCCCTAAATGGTGTGAAGACAAAGAGGGGTTTTTAGAGAAACTGGATATCTCTTCTATAGCATCGCCACCTGTTTTTGAATCATTAGATGATGGATCTGGTTTTAAAGAGATCTCTTCTACTGCATCACCACCCATTTTTGAATCATTAGATGACGGGTCTGATTTTAGAGAGATTTGTTCTAGTTCATCTTCTAGATCACTTACTCTAGACCTGAGACAGAAAATTAATCCATCCTTAAATGTTGAATTTCGCATAACTTGCTCTAGTTCGTTTTTCAATTCCTTCACTCTAATCTCATGAAGAGACTGGGTAGTATCAGTATCCTTTAATAAAGCTTTTTGTGCTATTTGTTCTAACTCAGCCTTTAGTTTATTTATTCTAGCCTCAAGAGAAGAAATTTCAGAATCTTTTAAAAATGAAGCTTTTTGTGCTAAAGATAGTAAGCTTTCTAGTAAATTAATCTTAGACTTAATGATTCTATTTCTTTTAACTGTTTGGCATTAAGATCAGCACGAGACTTTCGTTCGCAAGTAATATGAGCTATAAGCTTATTATTCACATTATTTAGTTGCTTAGTTAGGGGGACAATTTGATTTATAGAAATTTGCATATGCTCTTTTTCTTCATATAAGTGATTTAGATCATTTTGCATATGCTTATTTTTTTCATGCAAGTGATCTAGATCATTTTGAATACACTTAACTAGCACAAGATTCTCTTTTTGTTTAAATATACGCCCTGGAGGTCTTTATATTCATTAGCAATATCAGAAGCAGTTTTGATGCTACTGCATAATACTTTCTCAAGTTCTGATTCACGGATGCTACCAAGCCAATAGCCTGGCCCCTCCAGAACTTTTCTATTCTTGGTATCTCTTAAGGTGTGTATATTGAACATATTTTTTTTTTAACTTAGTCATAAATATATTTAAAAAATTTATGAGTGAAATTCTTTATTGATATCCTTATTAATAGCTGAAAATAAATTAAATAGTGAATAACTATTATTAATAATACCTATAATTTACAAACTATCGATTATCACATATATAGTAGAACTATGACTAGATATTTAAGATCTGATGCACCTCTGTTTTCTCCTGAAGATTATTCTTATATTATGCAGTGTCGTAATATAAAACTGAGGTATAAAATTTTAAATAAATTGATAAGTAAGTATAAAATATCATCAAAGCGTATTTATCAAATATGAAGAGGACAAGAACATCCTATTAACCCTATACAAAATATGTTTTCTTCGAATCAAACTCAAATAACTAAAAATTCAACAGTAAGAAAAAAAAATCTTATAACCAAAACCCTTATTGATTTAAGTACTGATTTGCTAATAAATAACACAGTGCCCAATAAAGATAAGAAATTGTCTAATACAATGCCTCTATATTCTCAGATTAAATCTCACAATATCTAGCTTTCTATTGAATCGCGAGATATGGTAAGTTTTTATTGTATTGCTTGTGGTCATACCAATTGAATGTTGACTGAAGATATTAATCAAATACTAATCAAAAAGAATAGCAAATCGAATAAGGATTAGATATTAACCGATATATCTAAATCGAATTTTCACCGAAATAGGATCGGATATTAACCGAATGGTTCAGAAACACCGAAATGGGATCGGATGTTAACCGAATGGTTCAGAAACACCGAACAGGGATTGGATATATATCAAAACAATATTGAATTTTTTTCGAATTATTATCTAAATATTTTTTATTTTAAATATATCATGTTACAGAATTCAGAAAAAAAAG